GGGACGCCACCACAGCATGGCTTGACAAGCAGTGCATCGGTACACGCCTGGTATCTGAAACTGCGAACCCCAGGCCACCAAAGCAGAGCGCATGCACTTAACCAGTACACCACCAGGCCAGCCCCACCAGCCAGTTAAGTTTTATCCTGTCCAAGTCACCAAACTGTAGGGGACTAAGACAAGTCCTCTACCCTCTCGGTCTTTCTGGCTGGTCTAAGAATTACATTGACATGAGACAGACTAACAGGAGAAAATGAAGCAAAGCTTTATAACATGTATACATGGGAGAAACCCAGAAAAACAGAGTAACTCACCAGAATGTCCAAAGCCACCACCTTAAATATTATCTTCAGGTAAAGAGAAAAGAAAATGTTGAGGGTAGTGGTTTGGGAGTTCTAAGGGGAAGAGGGCAATTCAAACGGAGATGGAAAAGCAAATGTTTGTTAAGCAAGTGTTCGTCGGGCCATCTGTAGACAATGTTATCTTATGATATTAGCTCCTTCCTGGAATAGGTCTTTTGTCTTAGATTTTTTTGGCAGTTAGGGGGAAGGTCAAAGTGTCTGTTTCAGAGTCTTTTGTTCTTAAGAATAATCAAAGCAAAGAGACATATTTTGGGGTGGCCAATTCTGATGCCCTACAGCTAAAAGATTATTCCGGGGTTATCATTTGTACCTTCCACATATATCTAGTCCATTTGTGGTAAAATGCTAAGTGGAAAAGAAAGTGATAATTCTGCTAATATCTGCATAGCAAAAGGACAGGTGGAAAGGGTTTCAATATAGTCAGTGAGAAATTGGGTGGTGAGAAATTGGATGAACTGTTTTCTTTCTATTTTTGTCTCTTCTAGCTTTTCACCAATAAGAAAAGATTGCTTTGGGGGAGAAAATTCACAACCACTTACTGGCTTATGAAAAAAATTTATTTTATTTCACACTGTGAACATTCAAAGCTGTTTCTCTCTATTATTATAGCCATTTTTATCAATTACTACTCAATTTAAGGCTCAACAACTGTTGACAATAACCAGCCAGAGATTTTAATGATGTCTGTTCCCAACCGCCAGCCAAATCCTCTTTTCAGCTTGCCAAATTACAAAAATAATAGAATTTAGTATTGAGATTGATGCTTTTATTCAAGGGAACACAATCCACGGACTGGGGACCACAGCACCTCACAGGCAGAGGAGCCTTTTTCTCGGGGGTTTTGGGCAAGAGGACTTCTATGGAGCCATAGAAGCAGCCACTCAGAAACAGGGCAGGACTAACTGGGAGGTCAGCGATTTCCTTATAAGGCCAGCCGGTCAAATAGGGAATAAGGAAAGAGTACTTGGCCTCAGGTGATTGGCTGGGGTTGCACATCTGACCTTATCGAGAACAGGGAAATCATTACAGATTCTTGGCAGTTGGGGACTGGCTGGCTGGATAGACTGCATTTCTGGTCAAGAGCAGCATTTACAGGGACAGGAAAGTCATCTAGGTTTCAGTTTGCTGACCTGACACCCTGGGCAGGAACAGCTCCATCTTGGGCCTAGAAGGTGATTTCAGCAGATGACATTTGTTTTCCTTTCCTCTACTTCTCTTCCTGCTGTGGTGTGTCTGAGCTCATCTCTAAGGGGCACTGAAAGGTTATACTCCTCCAAAAGAGACACGTGTTTAAGAAATAATAGAGGAAAATCCTTAGGCAGGACACAGTTAAAGAGTCCCTCTCAGCCCTCATGTGGAGTCTAGAGGGTTCTCATCAAGACCCCAGTGCTCTCCAGGAAAAGAGAAATAGGCGTTGCTTGTGGGAGCAGGACCTACTCTCATCCTGGGTCTTCCTGCTGCTGCCAGGAATGAACCCGCTCTGATGGAAGCAGACCTCAGCCAGCCTGGGAGCAGTGGGTGGGTGAGAGCAGATCCGGACTCAGGCACATGGGTGTGCAGAGATCCAGGTACTGAAGTTTGGACCTTTTAATGTCACCTCTGAGACCCTGGCATACTTTATCTGACCCGGGACAGCGCTCTTCTGGCCAACACAGAATCTGAGAACTATTCTAATCTGACTTCTTCATTTGAGTCACATGGAATGAATTAGATGTACACATGAGGACAATTATTAGTGAAATGGACAAGCCTGGAAAACCAAAAAGAAGAAAGCCATTGACATATTTTGATGAGAGGACTGTGGATACAATTTTCTTTCCTTTATCTCTAATTTACGTCTTTATAACACTGTGTGTTGAGTAAATATTAATTCTTTTAAAAAAGCATTTGTCTTGTATTAGAATTAGTAAACCCATTTTTAAACCCAAGTCATAAGTTTGCTAAGGAAACATAAGAGCTTAGACACTTGAAGATGAAAGAGTAACCCTTCCTACCAGAAGCCTCATTGTTTCTCATTTTTTAAAGATGACAAAAAAGCTCCCAAAATATGGGTGACTCCTTCAACATTACAGGCCTGTGAGCAGCTGAGGCAGGATCAGCATACCCACTCCCTCCTTTCTAGTGTGAGCAACTTTCATGCAGTGAACCTGTCATCTCAAGTTCAACAGCCTCATCCAGAGCACCCAGTCTACATCAGGTGTGGGGCCAGGCCCTTTCACAGCAGTAACCTCGTGTTTATAACCAGTGAAGGGAATGAACCTCTGTGAGGCGCACACCAGTATTCTCAGTCAACAGATGGTGAAAGTCGGGCTCCCTGGACGTTCCTCACAAAGGTCTACTTAAAGAGCTGACAAAGCCCAAGATTTCTCAGGTATGGGGAAACTTCCTTGTAAAGAACATGAAAAGACACCATCACGTGTCCATTCATAAGCCCAGAAGGAATTCAGAGAATGAAACAAAGGTGCACCATAAAGGGATTATGAGAATTTGGTTTGAAGGAAAAAAGAAGACATTGAGTATGATTTGTCTTAGGGGTGTGTGCAAATCAGGAAGAGGAAGAATTGAGAGTGAAGTGTGTTATTGGCATTGGTGCTGGTGGTGCTGTGGTTTCCAACGTGGGTGCATAAGACACTACATTGGTGTGTGAGAAGAAAGTGTTAGAACTACTATTTGTATTTGTTTTTATCACATATTTTTAAATTATTTATTTTTTGTTTGGTAATATGCACAATGCATTTTTACCATAGTTCTTATGACATATTACCTAATACACAAATTAATGTATATATATTGAGGGTTACTCATGCATAAAATAAAGCCAAGAAAATTTTGAAAAAAAATTAAAAAGCAAGAAAATTTGCTTACCAAAAAGCAAGAATCATTATAAAGCTGTACTAATTAGAATGCTGTGTCCCTGGCACAGGAATAGACAAAATCAGGATTTGGCCCCATTTGTAAAGGTGAAGTTGTGCACACACAGTGACTCCATCTCTATTTGTATACTTAGAGAAATTGTCATATGGAAGTGGACACATATAGTGGAAAAGAAGAGAGAGAGCAGAAAGGGCTGTGAGAGTCTATGGAAACGTAGTTATCACAGGGGTGGCAATGAAAAACAGTGGGAGTGATGATGGATTAGTCAATAATCTGGGGGAGAAATTGGATCCCCACATTCAGATTCCTACCTTAGCCCCGTATACAAAAATTCCATTCAAAGCAGATCAAAGAAATAAATGTGCAGAACAAAGCCTTAACACTATTAGAAAATAAAAGTGAGAATATGTTTATGATTCAACATACGGAATAAACTTTCATAAGGAAGAAAAATACTTAAATATATGGTCCTTCATACAGTAGAGCAAGTTAGAGCTGGTTCATTTAGTATACAATCCCGCCTGAGGTCACAGAAGTGAAAAGGAACTGAAGTTTCTACTTGTGGTTCTGGTGGAATTATCATGGAGAAATGTGATGAGCTGTTAGAGCACCAGCATGTGTGATAAGAGAGGAGGGGTTTGTGGGTTGGGAGGAAGCCCATGAGCACCTTTCTGGAATGCATTCTTATGTGAAGCTGGGAACCAGCCCATTTCAGAGGGAGACACATCACCCTATCTGTCACTGCTAGGACAGCAGTTCTTACAAGTCAATCTAAATAAGAATCAGTGTGGATTGAAATCAGTCATTGAAAATACACATTTTCAGCTTTCATCCTAAGATTCTGATATATTTTGTTGTATGTTGTCCAAAACTTGTACTTTTATTCAAACATCCTAGGTGTTTCTGATGCAGATGGTCCATGGACCACAGTTTGAGAAACACTGTTCTAGGAGCTTAAATTCTAAGCTAGACTCAAGGTGAACAGTTCTGGCAGAAAGTTTGATGATCCAATTCACAAGAGACCATACGCATATGAATCCAGCATTTCTGTACTTCAAAATTAATTTTACATCCTTAAACCTGGCCCAATATGGCAGTCACAGCCCTTTCCTATAAGACTTTTCAGTTCAAATATATACTATTTATTGTCTGATTATTCACCTCAACCCTTAATTTTAATAATTGAGAGAAAAATAATCTGGTAAGACTCATTCCAATTGAGGACTTGGCTGGGTCAATGTTAGGGGATGGGGTGGAAAGGAGCTTTGGTTTTACTTGTTTAAGACAGAACAGTTCTGGCTGTGGCTGGCCTTCAAAAGAGGGTGTGAGTAGAATACAATGGTTGGCGTTATCTACAACGATCACTTTATTCATGCACTTTCACTGTATCAACAGTGCCATGGCTAGTTATGGTGAGGGTTATATTAGTTTGTCCCAAAGAAAAGTCAGATACCACCTTGAAGTCTTCAGAAGTCCAAAGTTTGCATTCCATCATTTCTCATTCTCCTGAGTAATGCAGGAGCTCCTTTGCCACCCATTTTTTCTGGGTAAGGATTGAAAAAATGATTCAGTACCGCTAACCTTCCGATATTACTCTCCTAAATATCTCCCCAAACACATCAACTCTAGGTGAACTTGTCTGTCACAGGAAGCAGATTGAATGGACTCCACCAGCTCATGGGGAGTTGAAAGAATATGCTGTCTGTCAGACTGCTTGCCTAAGGCCTGGAGACAGAACTTAGGTCTATAGGAAACTGCTGCTGCTCACTGGGAGACAGGACTAGCCAGTGGGATATAAGGGTGGGGGTTGGGCATGGAGCTCAGGGTCTCTCTTTGTTCAGAGCACAGTGAAGTCAGGGCAGGAAGGGAGGCAGGGGCTGGTCTATCGTGTGTGCCAAGGCTGCTCTTGGCAGCCACAAGCAAAATTTTCGGTGCAGTGTAGGGGAGGTCTGAATCACTGTGTCTCTCCCAGGCAGCACAGTAATACACGCCAGAATCCCTTTCCTCCAGAGTATTGATTAAAAGTTCACAGGTCCTCCCTGAGCCTTCATAAGCATGGTATTTCCGTGAACTGATTCCAGATTCCCTCACAACCTTTGAGCTGGAGAACTGGTAGTAGAGAAGGCGTTGTGGAGCCATCCCCTCCTGGTACCGGTACCAGTGGACGTAGTCGCTGCTTTGTTGAATATCACAAGTGATTACAGCAGATGACCCAGCCTGTCTGGTGATGGACATCTGTGTCCCTTCCAAGTTGGAAGATGCCTGAGTGGCTGCAATGGGAAGAACAAAATGTAATGAGGAAGAGGTAACAGTTAATTCCTTAGTATGGCCTCCCATTGTCAGTAAAAGAAAAATCCCGTGAGCATCTAGGCAGCACACTCACCAGGAGCCAGGAAAGCTAGAAGGAGGGCTACAGCCCGCAGCATGCCTTCCTCCTTTGGCCTCAGAAGGAAAGGGAGAGATGACAGGAGGAGCAGAGCACCCTCTCAGAACTCCAGTCCGGCTCAGAAGACAGTGAGCCCAGGACACGAGGCAGGGAGTTACAGCTGCTTCTGGACAGCCTCCCAGGCAGGGCAGTGACTGAGGGGCTCTCCTAGAAGACCACCAGGCTGATCACCCAGAGGGGGCTGTGCTGGGGGAGGATGGGGGAGGAGCCTGCCTCTCTGCCCGCCCATTTCTTGAGAGCCCTCCTGTGGCAGGCTGAGAACAGGCCCTCTCCAGAAGAGGAGAGGCCAGGGGCCCTGAGAGCCCAGGACAGTTGGAGGGACCATCTGGAGCCCACGGGGTGGGCAGGAGAAGCACGGATGAAGCTGGCCTGTCCCCTAGTGCAGGGAGCAGTCCTGAGTCGGGGAACTGTCCTGCCACTCAGGGTTTCCATGTTCACGCTGCTGCCATGGGCTTCTTCTGCGATGCGGCTTCTTTATTCTTGCCTCGAACCCCCTTCCTTTTTTACGTCTGTAGGTGAACTTGGAGGGACCAACAGCAAAGCTGATAAGCATTGAACCTGCTTTAGTAAAAGAAATTAGGATCAGTTATGTTGGTCTACACTTGACTGTCCTCAAATGTCAATGGGTGTGTGTGTGTGTGTGTGTGTGTGTGTGTGTGTTCGGGCAACAAATCAATTTGTTAGAGGATTCTGTTCATCCTCAAGTGAAAAGGCGACCTCACATAGGGTTGCCGAATTTAATTTTAAAAAAAAAGTGCAGGGTGCTAGACAATACTCAGGAAACACTTGAGATAAATAGTATTTGTTGTTTATCTGCAATTCAGATTTCCTTGGGCACCCCGTGTTTTATTAGGCAGCCTTCCCTGCAGGAAGTGGACCCATATCTCTGATTTACTTGGATTCACAGATGGGTAGATAGGTGATCAAAGAAGAATAGTGAAATCATGGGAGAATTGAAGTGGTGCACACAGATTTTCACCCCGCACTTTTATAAATGGATTTGGCTATGCGTTTACAATATTCATAGTAGAATGTAGAAACAGCCCCTCTCCATCACTGTTTTGGCGTCTCTCTCAGGTGATTCATTTTCTCCTGTCCTAGCAGACAGCTGAGGAATGAGAAAGGGAGGGGACTCAAGCTGTTCCTCCTTTTGCCTCAGGGACTCCATGTGCAGGGACATGAGGGGTCGCAGCAGCAGCTCTGCAAGAGAACATTCCAGGTCACTATGCAGGAAGAAAGCTCAATGCCTCAGAGTCCCAGAACATCCTTGCTGGACAGAGTCATGGTTACAGCTCAGAAAGGAAAAAACGCCATCACACTGGAGTGGAAAGAAAATTCTTAAAAGAGTAAAGAAAGAAAACTACTCCACCAGAATGTAAAAAGAACTATAGAGCTACAGTAATGAAAAGAGGGCACTATTGGCACCAGAATATATTCATGGAACATAATGTACCCTGAGAGAGACAGGCAGAGAGAGAGAAAAAAAAAGAATGAAGGAAGGGAGAGAAAAAGTGAAAAAGAAAAGTGAAATTGCATCTTCTGGGTGTAGTGTTGTTAGTGGTAATTATAGTATTGTTTGTATTTATATTTTTATAGATTATGTTGATACCTAACTTGATTCCTAACAGAATCAAGATTTCAGTATGAGGGAAAATGCAAACATAAAATTTTGGAAGTATAGTAAAAACCTTATTATCTATAATTTGTATCTTTTTTTCTAAAAAATCCTTATTTTGTTGGCTATCTAGTGAAAAAATAGAAAGCAATGAGAAATCAGAAGTAATGAGCTCTCCTAGCATCCATATTTTAGCATCAAATACCGTTTCTCACTAAAAGAATATTATAAAACAAATGAAAAAAAGAATCAAACCTTTATCTTGCCATTTCTGTACAAACTGTATTTCAGGATACAGAGCTTATGAAGAAAAGTGCTTCTTTATGCAAGTATTACAGCCAATAAATGCAGGAGAAATATGAAACTTAGGAAATTACCATTATGCAACCCTAATGATGTCCTGGACTTAGACGACTCCATATATTCCTGTATAGCTCTGCCTGTTGCACTGCCTCTCTTTCATTCTCCACCATTCCATTTCTCTATCTATCCCTTTGCTTTCTCTATCGCTCTTCATATCCCTCCATCTCTCCATCTCTAGGTCCACAACCCTTTCTCTCTACTGCCTATTGCTTTCCATCCCTCTCTGCTTTTCTGTCTCCCTTTCCAACTCTGTCTCCTTCTCCTTCTCTATTTCTCTTTCTCTCTATTCTTCCTTACTATCTCTCACCTTATCTTTCTACACTTCTCTCTGTCTATATCTCTCTATCTGCCTATCTCTACTACTTATCTTTCTTTTTCTATTTCTCTTTTTATAAATATCTCTCTTATCTATGTTACATTCCATGTCTATCTCTACCTCTCTTTCCATTTCTTCCCATGTTCATAACAGCTACTTTAAATTCTCTGTTATACCAACATCTGTGTCATTTCAAGATTGACATCTGTTAATGGCTTTTCCATAAAAAAATGTTGCGATTTCCTGGTTTTCCATATATTGAGTAATTTTGGATTGTGTCCTGCACATTTTGAATATTACATTAGGGGCTCTAGGCAATGTTTAAATACTATGGAGAATGCTGAGTTTCTTGTTGGCAGGCAATTGACCCAGTTAGGGGTTGCAAGTTCCCACCTGCTTTTGGTGGGCAGTTCCAATCACTGTGGTTTTCAAAGCCTTTATAGTACTACTCAGATCTGTCCTGTGTGCACCACCCAGGGGCCAGTCTAGGACCTGGGCAATGGATTACCCCTAGATCAGTTTGCAAAGCCTTGGGTAGGCTGTTTAGGGTCATATCTATGCCTGTGCAGCTAGAAGGTAAACCCAGTTGTTCAAACCATTGTATGAGATTTCTTTCTTAAACTCTCTCCTCTGCAATCTCTACAACACTTTCCAAATGACAGGGGTCCCACTTCCCACCCTCTGGCCCAGTAAGTGTGGCTTTAGCACACCTGCTCTGCTGTCCATTTCCTGCAACTGTGTCTGCCTTAGAGGTGAAGCTGGGAGAGGATAAAGAGAGGACAGAAGCCACCAGGATTTTCTCCATGCTCAGAGTCCTCAGAGTCAGGGGGTATAGTTGCATTCAATGAGACACAGGGCCAAGTGTGCTCACTGCAAATTTTCCAGCCTGGAGCTCACTCTTTGCAATGTGGATTCACAGCTCCTCAGTCAAGAGGGGCAGTTATTTCCCCATTTGTGAATATGGGAGGAAGTTGTGGGGTTCCAGTTCCAAGTCTAGGCCTCAAGAGGCCTTATGCATTTAGGCTAGCTCTCTTGGACCCCCACCATTGTCTTGAGAGCAAGTCCAGGCTGGCCAGGGAGGATGAAATACCACCTAGAGCAGAGCTGATTCCTTCCAGCCCAGGCCACATTGACCAGCCAGCCCCTAGCCAGCCCAGCAGCTGACCCATGTGACTAAGTCCAACAGAGATCAGCTGAGGTTGGCTCTGGTCAGCAAAACAGCTTAGCTGATCAATGGGCTTGTGAGAATTATTAATGTCTGTTGTTTCAAGCCACGATGTTTCAGATGTCTGTCATACAGCATTATTGTGCCATAAGACAGAGATAGGTAGATAGATAAATGGTAGGAGATAGATACATAAATACATAGATACATAGATAGATAGAGAGATAGAGAGAGAGATAGACAGAATCATAAATACATAGATACATAAGGGAAGAAAGATAATATATATAAAGGAAATAAGTTAGAAATATATGCATATAAATAAAAATAAATGTGTAACAATATATAAATATACAATTTGTAACAATAAGTATATAAGTATACATGTATCTTTAACTTTGTCTCTGTCACTATTTACTTCTGTTTCTGTATATCTATCTCGAACTTCCTAACTCTATCACACTCAATGTGCCCACAGATATTATTTATCTCTATAGCTCTATCATTCTCTCTTTCTCCCTCTATCTCCAGCTCTCTCTCACTGTATCTTTCCCTATTTCTCTATCTGTGTCTCTGTGTGTCTACCCATCTCTCTCCCTATCACCATATTTATATCAAAATATCTCTGTATTCTCTGTTCTTTTTGTCTCTATAGCTATCTTCTTTCCCTCTCTGCATCTTTCTATCTCTCTATCCCTTTGTCTCTGTCATTCTCGCTCTCTATTTATTTCTCTGTCTCTGTTATGATTTCTCTCTCCTCATTTCAGAGATCTATCTTTCTCTATGTACAGTTCTGTCTCTCACTAACTCCTTTTATCTCTGTATCCACTGTCTCAGTCATTCTCTCTTTTCCTCTCACTCCCACTCTGCTCTGTAGCCCTCTCTCTCTCTGTTTCTATTACTAATTTCTATGCTATCAGTGTCTATAGCTTCCTCTCCCTCTCTCATATTGACCTCTCTCCTCCTTCTCTCCCTTTCTTTCTATCTCTTCCTCTTCTCTGGTATCCTGGGGGCCTGTGGCATGTAGGCCTGTGGGTATTGTCAGCTCGCTATGATGGGAGAATGAGTCCAAGCTCACAAATGTAAATTTACTTCTTTTGCTTCTCCCAATAATTATATCTGCTACATATCAAGAGATCAGAATTATTGTGGGGATGATAGAAGAGCTGTTAAAAAGATTGCTGCCTTGGGGAGAAGAGTAGAGCATACAGACTACTGCCTATACTCCTATTTCAGCTGGCTGTGTGGTGTCACCTAGCAGCAATATGGGAAATAGTCTGTTTATCATGAATTATTAGAGTTCCCTATGATTTCCTGACCTGTGAATGGGTGTCTCTCCTGTCTATACTGTTGTGTGACCACAGTGAGGCAGGTCAGTAGTGTTTGTAATGAGCTTCATGAGGGCACATACTTCGTATCAAGAGCACTGGGAGCAAAGCCAAGGTATTTAGTATATATTTATGGGATAAAGTACCATGTGTGATTTGGAAGATTCTTATAAGGATGTCAGAGAAACTGAATTATATATTGTGTATTCTTTCCATAGAAGATGAAATGAACAACATTTACATACAGTCAGTCCGGGCTGGGACAGAGATGGGAAGTAGTGACTCTAATGCAAATCATTCTTCATCACACA